TCATGGTCTTCTCCACAGCCTTCACCTCAGATGCAGACCATGGCTTTCTTACACGTTCTAGGGAGAGAAATAAAAATATATTAGCAATATACACTCCCAGGGTGAGGACCAAGCAGCCTGGCTGTAATCCCCCACCTGGTACACTTACCAGAAGGGGCACTGCCACTACCATGGGGTGCATCTGGATGAATGGTTGAAGGTTCTCCGCTTGAAGTTTCTTTTAGCCCGTCCGTTTGTGAGAGGATCTCTACTGCTCTCCCTGTCGCACAGAAAATAAAAATACAAGTGGCCTTTAGGGGAAAAAAATCATACATATTTTAATAATATCAAGAATTACCTTCAGGCTCAATTTGTATCTGGTCGAGGCTCTTTCCTTCGAATTCCGTCACTCTTCCCTGCTCCATGGCCATCAACACTTTGCTGATTTTGGCCAGCTCCAGTGTCCCCCTGGTAGTCTGTAATATTGCCTGTGGATGCGAATGTCATGGCCGAGGAAGTTGGCAAGTATGTCCATCTCATTCTCTTTCATATTGAGAACTGTAGACATAGTAGCTATGTGCTTTCTAAGTTTGGTTGAGGATAGCATCTCTGGATGCACCGCACCACATTCTTTGGCTACCTGGCGTAGGGAGTCTGATCCCCTGATGTGGGTGTCTGCGCCCGGGCGGGAAAAGAAGTATGGGTTATGGTCAGAGATGGAACAGGCCCTTCTGTTCTCCACCAGCACCTCCATCGAAGCAATCATTTCAGGAGTCAAAAGAACCGGCACTTTCCGACTTCTTTTCCCTTTAATTTCAATGCGTTGAAAATGCTGACACAGCTTTTTCTCAAGTTGGGACAGTCCCAGAGCAATGTCAGAATGGATCCCAGTCTTACTTCTTAAGGTAAAGGCTGTCAGTGGCATCTTTGAAACCTCACCTTCCCTTCTTCGATTGAAAATGATGACCTCACAAAGAGTCAAAACTGCCAGTTTAGACCAATGCTTAGACGTTGGCTCACTTATTAGGGTTTGCACATATTCAGGTCGACATACCTCAATATGTGCATGCATGGCTCTAACGTCCTCAGTCAGAGGGAGCAGGTCCGGAGTGTTCCACTTGGCTTGCCGGAGGGTCTGTAGGGCAGCAGAAGAAACACAGACGTCCCACCTCTTCTCAAAAAGCAGCCGGCTTCGTTGGAGGTTTTTAATAAATAGTTCATCAACACAATGCTCCATTTTTGAGTCACATTCAAGAATATCTGCTAGTTTTCTGAGGCTATGGCCGAGTTTGAGGACCAAGGATGGAGTCTTGTATTGATTTGTTTCCTCATCATATCCAGCCACAGACCTGACTGCATCAATCACATGGTTAAAGTTGGAAGGAATAAAGAAATCCTTAATTGTTTTCAGTTTCCCTGCGGTTTTTGCTTCGTTAATTAACCTACCGACTTCTCTCATTTTCTGCCTAATGTAATCATGCTTAGTCTTATCATGCCCGTGTTTTAAGTACAGGTGCTCTCCGAGTCTCAGAATCCCCTTTTCTGCTTTGACAACACCCGTGACCTCATCCTGATGCATTGCCGAAATTAAAGACCACAGCTTTTTGCTGATGCCCTCCGGTACAGGCTGGGCTAGGGAGCAGAGGGACTGGACCCTACTTCTACCTGGTTTAGCCTGGGCATCTTTCTGTGAAAGCCGGCACCTGGCCACATGCCTCCACAGCGACTTTCGCTTAAGCAATGCCCCACAGTCTATACAGTGCAAAAACTCACTGGATTTAACTGGGGAATTTGGCTGTTTAGCTGGGACTAAAGTTCCAATGCCGGCCTTTAAAACCTCAAAATTGTGCTCACGGTTTCCACTATTCCTGATCAAATCAAACTGAAGTTTACGTGCTTTAGATTTCACAGGTAGAGCCAATGCTCTGGCTACGTCACTTTCATTTTCCATGTTTTCTAGTCAAATGACGGGACATTTTGTGGCAGGACATTGAACAGTAGAGGCAGAAGTGTCTCTTGCTGTATACTCGCCCCCCATTTTTCTTCTTTTGCAGCTGCATGATAACAATCTTATTTGCCTTTGGTTCGTCACTTTCCGAGTCTTGAAGAAAAGTGTTTTTGATTTTTCTTTTTCCATACTTTTTTACAGGTTTCTTCTTGACAGTTAAATCGTCAGAATCTGAGTCGACTTCATCAATTAGGGACTCTTGACTAAGCTGCACAAACAACAAATAATTTGTAATCATTCTATATAACAATTTGAAGTCATGACTTGTAGTCAGCACTTACCAGTGGTTTGTAAGCGTGCGCTTCAGTGTGCTCCTCCATGATTTCTTGCAGCCTAATGAACCACACACTTGCACCTTTTTCTAGCCTGACACCTGATTTCCTCTGTTGTGCTGCTCCATGATTGGCTCCAGCCTGCTGGACTGAAATTGCCCCAGTGTGCCCCTCCTTGATATCCCGCAACCCACCACCAGGGTTCCGACACATAACACACTTTTTTCAGGAAAGTAAACCTCCAGGGGTCCTTTCCATATTTTTACAGAGACTGCATAAGGACCGTTAGAAAAGCATTACCCATTGATTATTAAGCTTGGACCAGTGGGGTCCGGTGTTCGGGCCCCACCACGTAAAACCAGTCCCCATGACGTGAGTGGAATCTCAGGTTATGGAACCCACCAGGAGTTGAAAACAAGTGCACACACACACACACACACACACACACATACACACAAATATATACATTTATATGTATAAATTCAATATACATTCATTTGCAATTTCTTTCCACTTTTATGTCCTATTTATTTTCTTCTGTCTGCTTTTTTGTTTCAGATCTTAATTTTTAAATCCTGCATTATTCAGATCATATATGTATACATACAAGGACAGAATATATTTTTTGCACTAGAGGATACAGTATTTAAAAATGAACAAAAACCAGAAACTAAATAAATCAATGCCGAAAATAATCATAAGACTTTATTTTCTTTTTTTTAGAATAATACAGGCGATAATGATTCAATACAATATTTTGTTTAATCTTAACTATTTGCCAATGTGAAAATCTCTTTATTCATTACTATTTTGTCAGTTTAGGGCCTCCATCCACTCTGGCTCAAAGGAGACTACTCATTACTAGTTTAAACCTGTTTTGGTTTTAGAAATAATCCATACAACAGTAAAAGTAATATGCAGCGACACAACATTCTGTCTTCCTATTATTAGAAATTATTTTGTTTAAGAAAGAGCCTTTTGATTGACTAAGTGAGAGTAATTCTCTCTTTTTACCTTTTCTGTCTGAAAAAGCTGATTTAAAGTGAAACATACATGATCATGATCATACAAACTAGTGATAGAAGCAAGGAACTAGAAACATGCCTATACCACAGAGTTAGTGTTTTATGGTTTGAAAATGAGGTACCCTAGCTTTTTGTATGAGTATCTGATTTCTGATACAGTTCCCACCCCTCATATGCATCCATACTTTGCCTTCTTCGACCTGCAGCCCGCTCCCCGCTGCTCCCGCCTCTCCCTCTCATCGCTCCCCTGCTAAGTTCGCAAAGACCAATTTCCAGCTAATGCGAGGTCGCCCCAGCCGGCTCAGAGGGCGTAGTACGACATCACGGCTGCGGGATTGTAAATATTGGTTTTAGAACGCCATAATGGAGCGCGCGCGAGGAGGAGAGGAGAGAGAAATTTCCATATAGCAGCGTATGGAGACGGGCCCTGTGCCGCGAGAATAGATTTTCCATTCTTGGTGTGTCACATTAGATTTCGGAGGTGCACAGTGGCAGGTACATGTCATTAGTAACACTTTAGTGCCATAATGAAGCTTTTTATTTATCCGCCTCTCCTCTCATGAATGAATAAAGAGCCAGGACCCCAACTGTGTGCAGCCATGAGCAGACGGGAGAAGGAGGAGAGGGGGTAGACAGAGCGTGGATGGACCCGGGGGAATGCTGAGGAGGCTTAAATGATGATTACAGAACACAAATGTGCATCAATGAACAAAAGGCCAAATGTATACGCAGGGCCTGGGAGCCACCTCTGCTCCGCGGGGTCCCTGGGGTCCTGATCTGACACTCTATTTACACACTAACGCACTCGCGGCTTCCTGCAGACATGTGACAGGTACTTAAGCGCTGCATTAGGCCTGCACCCCCGACTGGTTATGAGAGGCCCGGCGTGAGGGCGAGGGGAGAGCTCTGAGGGAGCGGGTCTGACAACTGGGGAGCAGACGGGGATGGTTTAGCAACGCAAGGACATGATTTATGTAAAAATATCTGAAAGAAAGGTAACAATATAATTAATATTTTGACCATCTGGCTTTGTTCCAAGAAAAGTAAGTTTATGTATTTAAATAAACATGAACAGTTTGATTCTCTGATCTGTTGGTGGTGAATCCACAACATTCAACCTCCTCAAAGAGAACTGTTATTGTGGTTAAGGGCAATACACAAAAGTATTGAATTGAATGGAATTTCAAACCACAGCAATACAACTATATGAATCCCCTTGCTCTAAAACAGTTGCTTCTATCACCAGTTTTAACAGAATATATTTCTGGCCTCTGTCACATCTCTAGATCAGCTTTAGACGGAAAAGTGAAACAGAGAGGACTTTCTGTTGGACACACATTAAGAATATTAAAAAGTCAGGAACCCCAGCTTTGTTTTAATCCCTCCCCTTTGTATGATCACCATTAACATTTATGGTGAATAGTTCAACCAATGTAGAGGGGGCTTGGTCAATCTGCTTCAACATTTCCATAGAGGTGTATTGACACCTGCTTCTACAACATGAACGCCACCATTTTGAAAAGCTTGAGAACCGAACCTGAAAGTCCGGGTTGCCATGGAAACTGCCACCATCAGCCTCATCTCCTTCACATCACCTCCAGCATCACCTCCTTCAGCATCACCTCCTTCAGCATCACCTCCTTCAGCATCACCTCCGACACACAACGGATCTCAGAACTTTGAAAATCTCAGACATTTTCTTTTTTCACACTTCAATCAAAACCCCATCAGCTCCAGTCCGGCTGCGGTCCCCGGCTGAGGCCTGGTGTCACAGGTGGCTGAGCAGAAAGGGGGGAGGAGGGGGGGTGGACCTCTCCCCCCCCCCCCCCCCCCCCCCCCCAGCCTCACACTCTTCATTTCCCTTTCATCTTGAGTGTGAAATCGGTGGCTGTGCCGCGCTGACCTCGGCATCAGGAGGTCAACCACTGAATTCTGACGAGACAGGGGAAGAGGACTGTCCGGTACCAAGGGTAAGAGGACTGTCTGGTACCACGGGGGAGAGGACGTCTGGTACCAGGTGGAGGAGGACTGTCCGGCTTTGTGTAATAAAAAAAAAAAAAACATTTAATCCGTGAAACAAAATATTTTTGATGAGATTACTATCATAATGTCTGGATAGGGTATTACTAGCTTGGAGCTGAAGGAAACCCTGAAATGTTCCCAATAGAACTCAATGTAAACTAAAACAGCTTGACCTCAGCTGACAGAGAACCTACAGCTTTCATAAAAATAGGACTTTGTGGGGTTTTTAGTGTTCCTTGTCATCCCAAACTTTTTTTTTCTTAAATCCTTTGGTTGTCTATAAATTCACACTTTAGTGCCACAAACTCTGCTCGACTTTCCACTGCTCTAACTCCGCTCTAGCTCCTCTCCACTGATGTTTGCTGTTGTTGTGTACTTTGGCAAGACTCTGAATCCAGCCCCTGCTGAAAGATCTCTGATCAGCCGTTCTCTTGCGGACTCACCACCTGCAGGAGAATTATTGAGGGGCTGGTTACCAGGTTTTTGGTAATATCAACAGATATTTTTGTACAGTGTAGGATTATATTCAGTAACTTTCACCAATTACTAATGCAATCAAACCCTGACACACATCAACACACACTGACACACTGAGACACATACTGACCACAGACTAACACAAACACTGACACACATGGACACTGACACACACTGAGGTACACAGAGACACACACTGAAACACAAAATGATACACACTGACACATGCTGACCACACACTAACACACTCTGAAACACGCAATAACACAGACTGATGCACTTTGACCACATACTGACCACCAGTGTTGGGTAGAAAACTTTGAAAATGCTTTCTGCTCCAGAATACTGAATACATGACCTAAAATGTATTTTGTATTGTATTCCGTTTTTTTGGAAAACATGGTAACTGGATTCCGAATACTTGATTTGTTTTTTACCAAGAAAAATTTGGCATGTCATTCGTGATGTACTCAAATATAAAGACATTTAATCTCTTTTACTAGTGGGTGCCTATGGTACTATTCGTGAACACACAGACTACAGGTACACGTGCACACACATGCACACGCTCGGTAAAAAGTTTAGCTATGATTGTTTGATTTTTTACAATAGCACTATAGATAATGGGTGCGTTGCTGGTAGACAAAGTTTCCACTGCACAGTTATATTTGAACGGCCTTCTTCTGTTTTAGAAGGAAATAGTGATCAAACTTCCACAATATGAATACATTGACCAACTTGCGTTGTTTCCATTTCACGTGCACTGATGATGCGGTCTCTGATTACAAGGCTGACTCCTCCATGTGTTCAAACCACAGTCTCCTCTGTGCGCTCGCTCCCATTGCCTGGACTTGTTTGTGTTGGATGCGTAATGCGTGAATGCAGCGTTTTCTTTCTTTTTAACCTTATATATAAGTATATAATACTTTATATATACTTGTATGTATATATATATATATATATATATATATATATATATATATATATATATATATATATATATATATATATATATATATATCTGTATACGTAGTATCTTTTCCTGTAATTTTTGATTTTCAGAGAGTAACTGTAACAAAATACAGGTACTCAAAAAGATTATTCTGAATACGTAATGGTGTTACATGTATTCCGTTACTCCCAATACTGCTGACCACACACTGACACACTGACACACACACACACACACACACACACACACTGACACACACTGAGACACACTGACACTGACCACCCACTGACACACACTGACCGCACCAGTAAAGTTGCTGCTCCTTCACTGTATTGTTATTGTGCTAACACAGGCTGGTGCGCTGGTTCAAAGCCGGGGGACAGGTTTCTGCTGCAGAAGCTGCGTCTGATGGAATGAGCTGTTTGTGTGTTGCCATGGGCGACACTTTGATGCTCTCCACAGCAGCACATCACCGGCCCTCGCAGCTCTGCCCACAATCCCCTGTTCTGCCACGAGTTCAGAATGCACCAAACTTCTGCAGCACAAACATCTTCTATTCAAAGGCTTCTGTAATCACAAATAAATAGAGGTTCTGGCGATGAGTGCGAGGCAGAGTGGCCTATCTCTGCAGCAGATAGCAGCGATCTGATCCTGCGATAACTCACTCATTTAGCTCTGAGCGCCGCAAGGCCCGCCGCTCTCTATGGGAGGTTGTTTTTTTAACACATTTTTATCTCTTCTGTTGAAGAGCTTTTCATCTCATACGATTTCCCTCTTTTTTATGTCTTTCCCCAGAAGGTGAGATCACAAGCCCACTGAAGGCACAGGAGCATGTTTTAAAGCAATGGACAAAATACAAATATTTGAAAATGTATTTCATGCTAATTATGTCAGGTTTCATGGCCCTGGCACAGTACTGAGCGCAGCCTGGACGCCTTAATTTGTATAGAAATTGTAATCATTTGTTCATTTCAAGGTGAAAATTGCATTTTTTAATTTAAATTGTATCCTGCGTGATAGGCTATTATCTATAAAAGTGGGCTGTGTGTACGGCGGCCGTGGCCCTGCGTCACGCCTGTTTGGAGCTGTGTGGGGAGCAGCGGCTGACTCACGCTCATCTCCATCCTCTTATTAATATTAATTAGTCCGAGCGCTCACTGTCAATACAAATGCACTTATCTCACATCTCCTTTTCTGCTCTGATCCACATCACGACATTCTACCAAACCACGTCTGTGACAAAAACAGGACAAAAGAGGGAACTGTTGCAATAACAAATACATTCAATAACTGATATTAAACTAGAAATATGAAGCGTGATGTTTGACCCTGAGACGTGATCTTAACACTGCTTACTTCTCATGTTTTGGAATTTACAGTGAACTAAGAAAATAATCACAGGAACAAAACACCACCATCTGGCTATTATTGTATTTTTTAACAGATTTTATGATCTGTTGTTGGTGACATTTTAGGTCAACTTAAAACCTTTTACAATCAAAGGTAATCACAACAGTAGTTATCTTTGAAGACTTTACAAAGCTGTCAATTCACCAATACAAAAAAGGGAAGCAAACAGTTCAAACACAGGAAATGCAATGATAAAAACACACAGAAGCATTGGTCCATTAGGGGTGTTGTTGAATGTTCTGAATCATCACCACTGTCCATATACATGTCCTCAATAACAAAAAGTGTTGCTTTAATCCTAATTGGCCTTTTTGAGTTTTGTCAACTTCAGCTAAAAAAATGAATTTGACAGAATGCAAAACAATTTCTTTGAAGTAATCAATTTACTTATTCAATATTTACAACATTGTTGTAAATATTACAATTTTCTCCGAACACATTGGTGCATCAAAGCCTCCAACCAATACCATCCATTCACTCACTCACTCACACCTTTTGTGTTTTAAGCGGAAACCGGAGCACCTGGAGGAAACCCATGCATACATACTCCACTCATTAAGGCCCTGTTCCGACTGGGATACAAACCCAGGACCTTTCACGGGCGGCACGGTGGCTGAGTGGATAGCACTCTCGCCTCTCAGCAAGAAGGTCCTGGGTTCGAATCCCAGCCGGACCAGGGCCTTTCTGAGTGGAGTTTGCATGTTCTCCCCGTGTCTGCGTAGGTTTCCTCCGGGTACTCCGGTTTCCCCTACCACTAAAAATATGTACAATAGGTCTGGCATGCGCCTCCTGTTCGGCGACAAGTGCCCAAAAATAACAATTGTAAACCGCTTTGTGACTCTGGTCTGTGAAAGGCGGTATATAAATAAAGCTTACTTACTTACTTTCATGCTGAGAAGCAAGAGTGCTAACTACTCAGCCAGTGCTTAATTTAAGCCAAGTAAAGCATGCAAGCACATTTACCCTGGCCTTGTATTTGAACAGTTAAGATGGATAAGATGGATTGTAAGGTGAAATGTAGCTGTTTCTTACTCTTATATATATATATATATTTTTTTTTTTACATATCTTAAATGTTTTGTTTGTTTTCACAAATAAAGCAGAAACAAACATAATCAAAACGTTTGTTTAACTTGAAAGTGAATCAGAGAAAACTCAAATATTTCAAATAATTCTGTGCTTAATTTTTGGTTGACAAATTAGTACTGTAAAATATTATGGTTGGTGGTGGTCGGAAGGGCACATACTTGCCTCGCTTCTGTCAGTGTGCCCCAGGGCAGCTGTGGCTACAGTAGTAGTTTATCACCACCGTGTATGGAGTGAAAGAATAATGACACATGTAAAGCGTCTTTGAGTGTCCAAAAAAGCGCTATATTAAACCTATGCATTATCATAGCACCCAATCAATCAATACTGATTTCATTGCTTTAAGTGAAAATACTATTTATTATGTAAATGTGGTGGTCCATTAATGACAAAACAAACATATTGTGCTGATTTAAAACAAAATGCATTGGGCGAAGAAATGACGCTACCCAGAATGCATTGCAGAGAAAAATATAATCAATATAAACATTTGAGCGTTAATTTTGAGAGTGAATATGAACCAAGTCCTAATGCAAAATACTTAAGCAACATTTTGAATAAACTGATTTGACCAAATAAATAATTCCAACCATAATCAACAGGGCCAAGCCAAAGCCGTACACTGGGTCATCTTTCTACATCATATGTATAGTAAGCAAAATTCAATGTATTTGCAAAGTGTGCTTGGCTTGACTTAAACAATACCTGAGAAACTAGCATTTCTGCTTCTCAGCATTTAAGATTCTGGGTTCAGGGCCTTTTTGAATAGAGTAAGCATGTTCTCGAAGACTTCCTCTGTGCCGAAGCTATGGTTATATTAACAATATAAGTAAATAAATCACTTCGAAGTAATAGTTCTGTCAAATTGAATGTAATATTCTTTATTACTTAAGACAGAGCTGAAGGGATAGTACACAAAAAGACAGAAGGAACTGCTTACGGTATTTTTATACATTTTTGATTAAAGCAACATTTTTTGCAGTGTACAGTTTCTGCCTGAAGCCCAGCAGGTGGATTGCACCAGTAATAGATTGATAGATAGATAAATACTTTATTGATTCCCCGTAGGAGAAATTCCAATAGCAGCAAAAATAAAACATAAAATTGATCATTCAAA